TTGTGAGAGGTGATGGAGGTGATGGTGAGGAGGTGATGGTGATGTTGGAGGTGATGGAGGTGATGGTGGTGTTGGAGGTGATGGTGGTAATGGAGGTGATGGAGGTGATGGTGACGGTGTTGGAGGTGATGGTGATGGTGCTGGAGGTGATGGTGGTGTTGGAGGTGATGGTGAGGAGGTGGCAGTAGGCACGTGTGCTGAGGGCACAGACTTTAGGGATGGAGGCCACTGAGACGGTGGTGGTGGAGGTCAGTGGTGAGGGTGGTGGTGACCCTCTGTGGACTGGCTCGGAGGGCTAGGGCAGGGTGAGGAGCTGGGAGGTCTGGGCCTGTAGGCCTCCCCCTGCTCACAGGCAGCCTGGTTCCTTGTCTGGCTGGGAGCCCTCTGGTTGCTCTGGCCTGCCAGAGTGGGCACGGTGGGAGCACAGGGGCCCCAGGCGTGTCTCCTGCAGGACAGTAGCAGGGGTCATGCAGGCCCCAAGGGCTCTGCCCGCAGGTCACAGGACCCCCGTTTGAGCATCCATGTTGGACAGGCCTAGGGGCTCCAGGCCTGGGGTGGGGAGGAGGTGAACTGGGCCTCGTCCAGAGCCACGGTTGCCTGACGAGGACAGCGAGATGGACGTGGGTTCGGGCAGAGCCGGACTGGCTGAGTGGCTGCTGACAGCCTGCACCCCGGCTGTCAGGACAGGCAGGACGTCCTCCGGGCTTGAGGCCTTGCAGCTCGGGCGGTGGTGACCATGTGGCACGCTGGGTTGGGACAGCCTGGGCGCCCACAGGCCTTTATCTGGAGCCCCAGCTGTGGCCACAGGAAGTGGCCGTTCCTCTTTGCTGTTGTCCCCAGAGGCATGATAACGTGAGGAGAAACACCTCAGCGACACACGGAGGCCAGGGCCATGTGACCTCTGACCTATGGCTGGGGCACAGGCCACGCATGAGGCAGGGGTGGGGTGCCGGGACTGGGCCCCCAGGCTCCCGGCAGCACTGGCCGGCTCAGGCCTCACCTGGCTCCCAGGACCAGTCCTGCCTGGCCCAGCTGCGGCTCGGCCTCCTCAGGGTGCCTCGGCCCCCAGGCCCTGCGAGGGCTTCCCGGGAGGCCACAGGGGCCTCTTGACCCCTCCCTGCCAGTCCGTGCTCGGGCCCTGTCAGCACCACTGGGCTCAGCCCAGGCCTGTGGACTGGAGGACTCCGGCTTTGGGTGTGGGGGCTATAGAAGGCTCCTGGAAGCAGCGGCAGGGCCGCCCACAGCTCCACCCCTCCCCTGGCACACTCTCCGTCTCCCTTCAAGGCCTCGCCCCTGCAGGCCTCCTCTGACCACCGTGGCCACCGAGGGTCGAGGGTGATTGGGAGCAGGGAGGCTGGTGGGCGGGCTGTGGCCTCTGCAGGGACCCTGGACATGCGGGACTCCCTGTGGAGCCGCAGGCAGTTGGGAGGCCAGCTGGCCAGTTCACCCCAGGCTGCTGGGTGTCTGGGCCCTGCGTGCCTCCTGTGGGAGGGTGATGGGCACTCCCCAGGGCCCACCAACCCGCCTGCCCTCGGCTCTGCACCCATCACCCCGGGCACTCTGACCACACTCTCCGTCTCCCACACATGGCACACACGTGTCGAGTACACACCAGGGGTCATGCACACAGACCCGACGGCAGCAGGAGATGCCCGCGCACACAGCCACGGGAGGCCTCCAGGGCGGCACTGCCTCTTCTGTGGCCCTCCTGGGGCTCCCTGCTCTCCAGACTATCCACTGTGTCCACCCAGCATCCTGTCCCAGGGATGTCCGTAAGCTTATCTTGCTGCGCTGCACTGGCCCGAGGGCACGTCAGCTGGGGCAGGCGCTGTGATGCCACCCTGTGTGGCAGGCACGGCGCCTGGACCCCTCCGGTGGCCAAAGCAGGGTCCTGGGGTACCTCTTTCACCAGGTGCTGGGGGTGGGGCCTGGGACCATCTGGAACCAGGTTTACGTGCCCCCAAGCCCGCCCTATCCAGCACTGGAGTGTGGCCCCCCAAGCAGCACCATGGGGTGAGCTCGCGGTCGCCCTCCTCTGCGGACGTAGATTCTGGGTCATTCTGAGGGGGTGGGGAGCGGGGACACATGTCCTTGTCTCCTGCCACCACTGAGGCCGCTCCCGTGAAGGCCTGGCCATCCCGCTGATCAGCGTGCGGGCTTGCACTGGCGCAGGTGCGGCAGCCTCGAGGGCGGCAATGTGGCTCTACTCGAGGCCCAGGCTACCCACCCTCCCTGCAGCATGGCTGTGGCCTGGTCCTCCCGGAGCCCCATCTCCCGCCCTGAGGGTCTGAGGGGTGCCACCCAGGTGCCAAGGGACCCTCACAGGTCCTGAGAAGTGGCTGAGCCCGAGGGGTGCCCACACAGAACCCGGGGGGCAGGGGAGGCATTGGTGAGAGAGGCCTCCCCCGAGCAGCCCATGGGCTGCTTGTTCCCCTGGTACATAGCACTGAGGCACAGGCTGCGGGGCTCAGAGCCGGGCGGGGCTGGCGTTCCCCTGCACCTGAGCCCATTCGCCCTGCCCCTGGCACCCAGCCCCAGGGGTCTGTGACCGTCATGTGGAGAGGAATGTAGACACCAAGGTCACACCTGCCTGAGCCAAGCAGGACGCACAGTGGGCTGTGGGGGATGGGTCTCCACATGGCCCCGCACAGGAGGATGGAGGGTCCCGGCGTCGCCCCACTCTCAGCAGCCAGCCCTCCCGGCCTCTCCCGGGGGTAGCACAGGGGCCTGGCCTCGAGGCAGGGAAGCCCAGCTCAGTGGTACCATCTTCCTGGAGAGGCTGCATGAGCCAGGGGTGGTGCCCAGCCTACAGTGGAGGGCCCAGAAGCGTCAGCTCAGACTGGTGGGGCTCTGGGGGCCCCAGGCAGACGAGACGCACTGTCCCAGCAGCCCATGCCCCCCGCGTGCCCCTGCTGGTCATTCCAAAGCTGGGGCACTGAACTGGCAGAAGCCAGTGGGCCGCACAGGACAGGACCTAGAGCTGGGAGCAGGGACCAGGCCTAGGTAACTCCTGCTCACCAGCTCTCAGCTGGGCCCCTGTGGCTCTCTGGTCACACTGTCCAGGCACGAAGGGCTCTGCTCACACTGAAGGGGCTGCCCGCCTCCCGGAACCACACAGGAACATTGTATGATGTGTCTCCTCTCTGTGTGACGTGTCTGCGTGGTCTCCCTCCTCCTCTTGTCTGTGTGACGTGTCTGCGTGGCCTCCCTCCTCCTCCTCTCTGTGTGACGTGTCTGCGTGGCCTCCCTCCTCCTCCACATCTCTGTGTGACGTGTCTGCGTGGCCTCCCTCCTCCTCCTGTGTGACGTGTCTGCGTGGCCTCCCTCCTCCTCTCTGTGTGACGTGTCCGCGTGGCCTCCTTCCTCCTCCTCTCTGTGTGATGTGTCTGTGTGGCCTCCCTCCTCCTCTCTGCCTTTGCTCTGGGCTTAGTGGCCCGTCATGTGACCGCAGCCTGCCCCTGTTGATAGGTTCTGTGTCTGCAGATGAAGGTGTAGCGCACTGCTCGTGGGATAAAGCAGTCCTGTGTCGTCCGAGCCTCTCCTCACCCGCGTCTTCGGCTTTCTCTCCCTTCCCAAGCACCTGCCAGCTTCCCCACAAAGCCCTGCAGACTCCTGCAACCCGCTGGGCTTCGCATTCAGGCCCTGAGCCCTGGGTCCCCCGACATTCCCTGGTAACAGCCCTGTCGAGGTGGCAGGGCCCAGGAAAACCAGAGAAAGAAACCACCAGAGTGGCTGGGCAAGGGCGTTTATTTGCAGTTGCCATGGGCCTGCCCCCCAGGGCCACCCCCAGCAGCCCAGGAAATGGGGCCACCAGCTCTGGCCCTTTCCCGCGAGCCTGGCTGCTGCCCCGGGTGAGGTGCAGGGTGTGGAGCCCCAGCCCTTCTTGACCCGGCCTGTCCCTGGGCTGCTAGGACCTGGAGAGAAGGTGGCCGGGCCACGTGTGGCTGGGCCAGGGGCCTGGGAGGCCAGAGCTCAGGGAGCCTGGACCATGCGCTTGTGGGTGTCAAAGACGTAGCGCTTGAAGGACAGGCTGAGGGTCACAGGCTGCGAGGGCTCGGGCCGCTCGCTGCCCTCCTCCTGCGGCGTGGCCTCCCCGCGGCCGGGCCGGCCTCGCTTCTTGAGGGCAGGCGTCAGGATCTTCT